ATTTAGAGCAACTGTAGGGTTTAAGTGTGTATCATTTACTACGATAGTAGGTGGATTGGGAGTATTTTTTGCAAATGACGTTGATGAGGTTTTATATACTTCAGTGCAATATCTAACGTTCGGTGCAGGAACTAATTCAGGCCCTGATAACTTAATAAGTTTAAATTCTCTTGAGAACTATAGTCAATGCAGTAGTGACTCACACTCGACAGTCCTACTGGAAACTTATACTCCAAGTATGAAAACTATCGAGCTAAGCGTTTGAAATTACAATGCGACACAATCGACCTACTCGACTTAGAAAACACATATTGGCGTCTTTCAAGTATTTGCCTAGATTATTCCCGTATTTATCGAATTCATCATGTACATCTTATTATGAAACATTTTTTACTGTCCTACCATGTTAATAGGGTATATTAACATTGTCATTCCGTTTGTAACTCCTCGAAATACTCATGTCAGACCCAACAAAGTATATATATTCTTGATCAGCGTAAAATTCTTAGTCGATTTAGCGATGTCTGACTGTCTGTCCATCTGTCTGTTGTAATCACGCTATCTTTCGAAAGAATAGAGATAGAACGCTAAAATTTTGCACACATGTTTATTTTTCCAGTAGGCAGGTTAATTTCGTAAATGGTCCATGTTGGTCCACGTCTTCGTATAGCCCCCATATAACGGCACCTCCCGATATTCGGTATTTTGATGATTTAAGCGACATTTTTCACCAGAATTGTTTCAAATTTGGTATTTGAAGTTCGAAAGGGATACTACAGCCTAAGACAGAAAATTGTCTGTGCAGGTCCACGTCTTCATATAGCCCCCATATAACGGTACCTCCCGATCTTGTGCAAAAGGTCCGAGTTGGCTCTGAAACTTGCATACAAGTGGGCTAGTCCAAGAGGTCTTAACGTAAACCCAGAAAAACTAAGATATGACTTTTCACCAGTACAAACTGAGGCACTTCGATGTTAATAAATCGAGTCGATTAAAACAAGTAAAAAAGCAGTAAGTTCGGCCGGGCCGAACTTTGAATACCCTCCACCATTTAGAACGAATTTGAAAGTTTTCGAAAAAGAAACCATTTGCCAAAAATTTATTTTTAAATAACGAATATAACAGTTATATTAGGACCTGTACGACGTGCACCTACATAGGCATTGTTTGTCACAAGCTATTACCATATTCAAATTCGAAACTTGAAATAAACGGTGAATAATGTAGCCAAAATCATCAAAATACCGTACATAAGGAGGTACCGTTATATAGGAGCTATACGAAGACCTGGACCTGTATAGACGAACTTTACGAACTTCAAATACGACATCTCAAACAATTTCGGTGAGTATTGTACCTAAAATCATCAAAATACCGAATATAAGGAGGAGTAATTTATGGACTCGAAAACCGCTGAATAGATTTTCCTGAAAATTTCCATATATACTGCAACATCGCCTGAAAGTAACATAGGCTATATACATTTTTGAATTTCCACTTGGAACTGGAGATATAGCATCAGAATCGGAGGTACCTCCCAAAAATTTAGATTTTATATGCACATATGCATTGATTGGTTGAAGATACAGTCTAAAAATTTGGAATACGTAATGGAATTTGGAACAAAAATAAGTTAGCCAAATTATATTGTAATCGGTTCAGATTTGGATATAGCTCCCATATATATTTTCGACCGATTTCGTTCATTTGATGCCTCAAACACAATATGAATGTTCGGTTCCAATGAAATTTGGAATGTGTGACGGGATTTAATCCGAAAATAAATTTGTCAAATTATATTGAAATCGTTTCAGATTTGGATATAGCTCCCATATATATTTTCTACCGATTTCAAGCATTTGATGCACCAAACACGCTATGTATCCCCAATTTCAATGAAATTTGAAACGTGTGATAGATTTTATCTAAAAAATTGATTTCCCAAATTATATTGAAATCGGTTCAGATTTGGATATAGCTCCCATATACATTTTCGGCCGATTTCATGTATTTGGTGGACCAAACACGACATGTATTTCCAATTGTAATGAAATTTAAAGTAAGTAAATGTCTTCTTCGACAATTATCTTTATAAGAGAATTCCGATGATCGGGCGTTAAATATGTACCAAATTATTATATAATTCAGTGTACTATTATTATAGTTAAAATCACTTTAATTCGAACATATATTAACATATATTCACTTAAGTACATATAGTACATTTAACAGATGCGCATAACGTATATATATATATAAAAGAAGTCAATTATCAATTTATGAATTTTTCCGCTTATGGACTATTCAAACTTTTATTTGTCATTATTTTCTATAACTGTGTTTTTATACTCTCCACCTTGAAAATGAGGACCATGATACTTGAAATCAAGTTAGGACACTGAAACTATTTGATTTTATTATTTTTTTATTTGCCGGGCTTAACATGTCAAAATAATTTGTGCATGTAATATAGAATAACGTAATGTAATATTCTAGTATTAATTTTTTAACCATAGCTGTCTTTTGCACTTTCCCCAGCATCTATAAGCTTTACTTCCTTGGATATGGTTTTTCCAATTAAGTTTCCTATGGAGGTTCAGACCCAGATATTTAACATATCTTACTTTTTCTGGGTTTACTTTAAGACCTCTTGGACTAGCCCACTTGTATGCAAGTTTCAGAGCCGACTCGAAACTTTTGCACAAGATAGGGTTCTTTCCCTCAAAAGTATAATAAAGTCGCCTGCATAGCGGGAAACTTCAATTCCTTCATCGGTTAAAGCCCTTAATTGACTGTTTATTATAGTAACCCACAGTAGAGGAGATAAGATCCCTCCCTGTGGCGTTCCTTGGCCAACGTTGTCCATTATGTTAACGTCATATAGCCTGCAAGTTATACATATTTTAATTAGCATATGGTTTGTCCAGTTCCTGAGGGCTCGGTCAACTTTGAAGTTGTTTAAGGATTGAATGAGTGTATCTGTGCTGACGTTGTTGAACGCGCTTTCGATATCTATGCATACCGCCCTGTATATATCTTTTCATTGAAAGTGCTCGCGTTAATAATTCCGGCTTAGCTGGACGAAATTTATATGGAGCAAAGCCGGGAAGACAATATCTGTTCCAGTTGCCTAAATGGTTTGAAGCTTTTGAAAGAATCCTTTATCATATATTCCCCATTTTTTTTGCGTTTCATCAGTCACATCTACTCTTTCTGCCGATAGATCTACGTATGTCGTAATGCTCTGTGGGATGTGTGTGTTCAGCCCTAGGGTATCTTCTATTGTTTCTATACACCTACACGTGAATATATATATATATATATATATATATATATATATATATATATATATATATATATATATATATATATATATATATATACATATATATATATATAAGAGGAAAATGTTTGTATGCTTGTTTGTAATTTATGGACTCGAAAACCGCTGAATAGATTTTCCTGAAAATTTCCATATATACTGCAACATCGCCTGAAAGTAACATAGGCTATATAAATTTTTGAATTTGCACTTGGAACTGGAGATATAGCATCAGAATCGGAGGTACCTCCCAAAAATTTAGATTTTATATGCACATATCTACTGATTGGTTAAAGATACAGGCCGATTTCATGTATTTGGTGCACCAAACACGATATGTATTTCGAATTGTAATGAAATTTAAAATAAGTAACGGAATTGGGAACCAAAATGATTTTGTCAAATTAAATTGAAATCGGTTCAGATTTGGATATAGCTCCCATATATATTTCCGACCGATTTCATGTATTTGATGCACCAAACACGCTATGTATCTCTAATTTCAACGAAATTTGGAATGTGTAGCGGAAATTAAAACAAATATACATTTGTCAAATTATATTAAAATCGGTTCAGATTTGGATATAGCTCTCATATATATTTTCGACCGATTTCATGTATTTTATGCACCATACACGATATGTATGTTCGATTCCAAAGAAATTTCGAATATGTAACGGGGTTTTGATGTGAAAATAAATTAATCAAATTATATTAAAATCGGTTCAGATTTGGATATAGCTATTTTCCGCCGATTTCACATATTTGATGCACAAAACACGATACGTATTTCCGATTCCAATGAAATTCGGCGTGGCTAAATTTGGTGCAAAAATAAATTTGACAAATTATATTCAAATACCCTCAGATTTGATTATAGCCGATTTCACATATTTGATGCACCCAAAGCGAAAGAGACAAAATCTGGCACCAGAAAAAATTGCCAAATTATATTGAAATCAGTTGAGGGTTTCGGCCGATTTCATACATGTTATGCACCAAACATGATATATATGACCGATACCAATGAAATTCAGAATGTGTGGCGGAATTTGGTTACAATAATAAATGTGACAAATTAATTGGAAATTAGTTAAGATTTGGATATAGCTCCCATATATATATATTCTGGGCCGATTTCACATATTTGACGCACCAATTTCAATGAAATATAAAAGGTGTGGCGGAATTTGATGTAAAAGTATTTTTTTTTTTTAATTATATTTAAATCGGATCAGATTGGGATATGATTTTAATATGAACCATTGACCCACAACGCCTTAGGCTAACACTAAAAAAACAACACAACAATTAATTTAAAATACCCCAGTAAACATTTTTTTCCGATTTTCTTCCGAATTCGGAAAAAAACTCTGCACAAGTTTCCGACTCTGATGTCGAATTCGGAAAGAAATCGGAAAAAAATTGTGTGAGATTGCCCAAGATTCTGAAAGATTTTGCGGAAAAAATTCTGAAAGAACGTAAGAGTTTCGGGGCGAATTCGTATAGAATTCGGCAAAGAAAAAAGGAAAAATCGGAGAAATATAGGATGTTTGATACAAAATTCGGAAAATTTTCGGATGTTTGATACGAAATTCGGAAAAAAATCTGAATTTATTCTATAGTTTTATCCGAAAATCGGGAAAAATTCGAATAATTCATTCGAAAATTGGAAAATAATAGGATGTTTGATACGAAATTCTGAAAATTTTCGGATGTTTGATTCGAAATTCGGAAAAAAATCTGAATTTATTCTATAGTTTTATCCGAAAATCGGGAAAAATTCGAATAATTCATTCGAAAATCGGAAAATAATAGGATGTTTGATACGAAATTCGCAAAAAAAAATCTACATTTATTTTATAGTTGTAATCGAAAAACATAAAGAAATAATAAAACTTTATCTAGTTTTTAGATAATTGTTTATGTTTGTATTTTTCAATTTAATGACAGAACATTTGTATTCAGTTTTTTTTGTAAAATATAAGGAATACGGAAATTAATATATAAAAAACATAAAAAGTTGCAATTCAATGTAAATCAATATAATTAAGGGTGGAAATATATAAAGCGCATATTTGGATGGCTCAAGTCATCGGCTGGCTTATTCGCAGATGAACAAAGGAGTTTAAGGTTGACTGAGTTCGATTTTGGCCCAGCTTAAGGTTTGTTAAGCCTTTCTTTAGCCGATTTGAAGAAATGTTTTATATGGGTTTATATGGCACTTCCCATAGTTTCCGGAATATGTTCCAATGCCGCATCTAAGTAATAAAAATGAAAAAAATATTATTTACATTATCAAAGAGTTTAAAACACAAGGATACAAACCTTTAACGAGCCTAATAAATTAGATGTCATTTACAGCTGTATTTTGGTACATTTCGTGCCACGAAAACGTTGACCTCGCCAGTTTGAAAAATAAGTTTAAAATTTTCATATGTAAAAGTGTTTACATTGTCATGGCGTTGATTTTTAAACGGCGTAGCTAAACAATTCAAGATATTAATAAAAGTAGTAATTGTAGAAAGGTGCTTACTTACCATAAGGTACTGAAGGTCCAAATCTTCCTTTAATTTTCATTTGAACTTTTCACTGCAACACACTGCAGTCGTGCTCCGTTCAAATTCTGACGACAAACTGATCATAATCAAAAAACAAAAAAGTTGTATACACAAAATTCTTCAAATAATTTCAACCGAGCATGTGCAGAGTACTCGGAAACTTTTCGAAAGGAACGGTAAAATAAATCTCAACAGAAAAAAGTTAACTCTCTGCTAATGTCAGAATTTTTTTCAAAACAAAAGAAACGAGTATGTGCAGATTACTCGGAAACTTTCCTGGAGTAACATTAGAAATTCTCGCCAAAAAAGAGTTAACTCTCTGTATACGCTGTTTTTTTTCTCTTTAGCTTTGTTTTGTTCAAACAAAACAAAAGAAACGAGTATGTGCAGATTACTCGGAAACTTTTCTGAAGAAACGACAGAAAATCTCTACAAAAAATCGGACATCAGAGCCCTCGGAAAAAATTGTTAGCTGGGACGCTTATTACGGCGAAGTATGTTGCTATCTCGAATTCACTAATTGCAATAGAAATGCCACTCAACTTTAAAATATTGCAGTTTACTGCACGCTTGGTATTTGCTATGAATTAAATAAATCCGAAGGACAACCCCTTGGTGTATGTATGTCATGTTACTGCTTTTCAAATGGTTTTGGTTATTTACGCATTAAAGTAGTGGAATATTTTTTTTTTAAATTTTTTTTTTTTGTTTTTGTTTGTTTTGTTTGTTTTTGTTTTTTTTTTACCAACATATATATTTTTAACCAACTATATTTTGAATGCAAAAAATCAAAAGGGGTAGCGAAGCGCACCGGGTTCAGCTAGTATATATATATATATATATATATATACATATATATATATATATATATATATATATATATATATATATATATATATATATATATATATATATATATATATATATATATATATATATTACGGTACCTCCGATATTCGGTGTTTTGATTTTGCACATTTTTCCATGAATATGTGGTATTTGTAGTTCGTTATTCTAGCTCTACAATAGAAATTATTTCAAGTTTGGCATGTAAGACTCGCAATAGATAAAAATGCCGGGAAACCAACCGAAGATGACATTTTGCTCCTAGAGGTAACCTAAGATATTTTGTTGTACCTCGGATAAGAAAATACGGAGATACAAATCCGCACCCACCAACATATTTACGCAACGGCAATTAAAAGGTCGCCGAACTGCCAATTAGATTTTAGATAGGTCATGTTAGACAGAAGAGTCGACTGAAAAGGAGGAAAGGTTAATGCAGATAGTAGGCAAAATAATAGCTTATATAGGCATATAACTCCGATTTCACTTCGGGAATTTGAAGAGTTTGAATAATTTTTCCTTTTATATCGCGGATGTAAGAAAGCGCCTGTATTCTCTCTGTAAGGGAGGAATCGAGCTCGGTCCACTAAGGATGACTTATCTTTAAGACTCTGTTCCCAGAGTGTCACCATAAGATTTGGCAAACGTTGATTACAAAGAAACACTAGAATAGAATTTCATTGATTAGTTACAACGTCATTATCAGACATAGCAGATAAACAACTATTTATGCCCCGTTGCAAAGTATTGAGGTCAGCACTCGTTTCATTTGGCAGTGATGAGTGGTCAAAAAGAAGTTTCAAGTTGCTATTTACGAGTTTTGTCATAGGTGTCTCTAAGACATCTCCCGGAAGTGGAAAACTTTTGTCATTGAGACACCTTCACAAGTTGTTCCAAACTCTGACCTTATACATGAGGAGATTTTGCCGACTATAAGTGCTGTAATTTCTCATTAATCTAAGATAAGCAATCAATATATAATTCTGTTCCTCATATTGTAAGATTGAAAACGCTGTGATATTCCGGCTTAATCAGGTGGGAGGAGGCAATAAATTTGACAACATTTCCAAAAGTGCGAATAAATTGCGTCAAAGGTTTAACCGATATTATGCGATTCAAGATTGCGAAAACAAAAAACTGCCTGAAAATTGTGCTAAAGGGCGTCGACCAAAAAAATATTTTAGTGTTGAAATATTTCGGTATTTATTGGTGAAATTTTTCTAGCATTAACTAACAAAAATGGGTGCACTATCTTTCAAACGAATTCAAACGAATAATTGATAACTCAAAGATGCTGGAAGTAGGGTAAAATGTCTAAAATGCGTAATCCAAAAGAAAATCAATTATTTTTTACAAAAATATAAAAAAATATATGTTATTATTATTATTTTATTTATATTAAATTTAGAAATATTCACCGTTGTAAGCTATTTATGAACTGTAACATTGGAATAGAAAATCACGATGAAATCGAAAAACAATTGTATTTATTGAAATCACAATTAACTTGTTTTCGAAATCGAGTGACTCGACTATGCAACACACAATTCTGTAAGCCTATTTTGTAACTTTTAACAACTTTAGGTTAGGTTGAAAAGAGGGGCAAAACACTCGCCTCATGTTGAGCGCTCTAGATTAAGAGATTATTAAAAGAAGACGGGCAGTTATCTACATATTATATTAGAAATTTATAAGAAATTCCCTTAAAGGTTTTTTCCATTTACCTTCATCCCCGTATAACTTAGTACCCATAGAATGCGTACTGAAAATGTTGATTGTCTTGTTGAGGATGACTGGTTCATCGAAGTGCCCAAGTTGGTTTTAATGATGGAAAGTAATATCTTAATTTTTCCGGGTTTACGTTAAGACCTCTTGCATTAGCCCAATTGTATGTAAGTTTCAGAGCCGACTCGCACTTTTTGCACAAGGGTTCTTTCCTTCAGAAGTATAATAAAGTCGTCTGCATAGCGGACTACTTCAACTCCTTCATTGGTAAAAGCTCTTAATTGACTGTTTATGGTAGTAAATACTACAGCCTAAGCCAGAAAATTGTATGTGCAGGACCACGTTTTCGTATAGGCCCCATATAACGGTACCTCCCGATATTCGGTATTTTGATGATTTTAGCGACATTACTCACCGGAATTGTTTCAAATTTGGTATTTGAAGTTGTAATAGATACTACAGGTTTTGAAAGGAAATTGTCTGTGCAGGTCCACCTCTTCGTATAGCCTCCATATAACTATACCTCCCGATATTCGGTACTTCGTTAATTTTAGCGACATTATTCACCGGAATTCTTTCAAATTTGGAATTTTATGTTGACATAAAATTGTCGGGAAAGGTCCACGTCTTCGTATAGCACACATATAACGGTACCTCCCGATATTCGGTATTTTGATGATTTTAGCGACATTATTTACTGGAATTGTTTAAAATTTGGTATTTGAAGGTCGTAATAGATACTACAGCCTAAGACAGAAAATGGTCTGTGCAGCTCCACGTCTTCGTATAGCCTCCATATAACGATACCTCCCGATATTGGTATTTTGATGATTTTACCTACATTATTCACCGATTTTTTTAAGTTTCGCAGATTTTAACAGAATTTTTGAAGAATTTTATTGTTTTTGAGATTCAAAGTTCGGCCCGGCCGAACTTACAGCTTCTTTACTTGTTTCCATTCACCATCATCCCCGTATGACTTGGTACCCATAGTATGTTTTGACAATAGTTGTTGATTGAATTTATGCAGTTGTCGCATTTATGGCGATCTTGATATCGTGTTGGCTTAAGCCAATTCACACACTCTTGAATCGCAAGGACCTCCGCTTGGAAGATATGGGTCTTGGATCACACCCAAATATTTAACATTATTGAAAATGTTGATTGTCTTGTTCAAGATGACTGGTCCTTCGAAGTGCCTCAGTTTGGTTTTCCTGATGAAAAGTAATATCTTAGTTTTTCCGGGTTAACGTTACGACCTCTTGGACTAGCCCAGTTGTATGTAAGTTTCAGAGCCGACTCGGACCTTTTGCACAAGAGCTCTTTCCCTCAGAAGTATAATAAAGTCGCCTGCATAGCGGACTACTTCAATCTCTTCATTGGATTATGACCTTTTTTTGATCATAACCCTCATAATGGAATGGGGATTATGTCCCAGAAAATGTCGGTCATAATCCCCAGATAGTAGTGGACATAATTCCCATCAGAATGGGTATGTCCAATACGAATGCGGACATAAATTGAGATTTCTTCCTCTGGGTATGTCCGATACCGGGTGACGCGAACAAAAGTTTTCTATATTTTAAACTCAATATAAGTAGCCGGTCTTTGGCCGCCCTTGAGATTTTCTCCTCGACACCGGCTATCCCGAACCAAGTATTCTAAGTTTATTTCATGTTGTAAGAGCCGGTCTTCGGCCGGTTCGTAGGATTTTCTCTTTTCAGTATTTCCAACAGCGGCTAACGCGAATCAAAGTTTTCTAAATTTGATACGTTTTGCAAGGAGCCGGGCTTTGAGATTTTCTCCACTGGATTTGTCCCGCACCAGCTAACGCGAACCCAAGTTTACTACATTTAATATTTTTGTAGGCAGTCACCTCCCCATGGGAAAATATTTTCTAAAAAAGTAGGAAATATTCTAAATGGTATTAAATTTAGCATTTAGAGAGGATATAGTGCTGAAAAATTTAAATTTGGAATGGGGGTCTTTGATGTTGAGTAGTTAAATGCACCAGATATAATGCGTTAAGTTATGTACTCCAATTGGTACATTTTTTTGGGGTACATGGATAAAGGAGAAATGTTGAAATTTATACAGAATGAAAAGTACGAAATTGTACAAAATTTGATATATATTGTAGGAATAGAACTGGAATCATGATTTTTGCTATAATAATTAATTTGTATACAAGCCGCAGATGAAATTTTATGCTGTATAGACTGTAAGTGAAGATCTTGAATGAATTTGGTAGAGTGTAGGATACGAGGTTAATTCACCGGAATTATTTCAAATTGGGTATTTGAAGTTCGAAAGGGATACTACAGCCTAATACAGAAAATTGTCTGTGCAGTTCCACGTCTTCATATGGCCCCCATATAACGGTACCTCCCGATATTCGGTATTTTGATGATTTTAGCGACATTATTCACCGATATTGTTTCAAATTTAGTAGTTAAAGTTTGTAATGAATACTGCAATGTTACGATAAATTAATGCATGCGAACTACCCTTGTATTGATCACCTGTAACTAGGCTTAGTAGATCAGCTGATTAACAGCTGTATTTTTAAGGATTGTTATTGTTATTTTTAAGGATGTGTTAAGAAAACAAAATCTATGATTAAGTACCGTTATGTTTTATATAAAAGGACGATGAAATTGAAAATAAAGTTCAAAAGTTAGAAAGAGCCTAAGCCGGCTTTAAAATTTCAGTGAAATTAAAAAATCAAAAAGCTGTTTTTATTGAGCTGGAAATATCTGGCAACTTGTTGTGCCTTCGAAAAATTTAAAAATTTACCGTTATATGGGGGCTATGTGAAGACGTGGTCCATTTACGAACTAAACCTGCTTACTGGAAAAATAAACACGTGTGCAAAATTTTAGTCTTCTATCTATATTCGT